TAGTACTGGTAGAAGTAGTAGTACTGGTAGTAGTACTGGTAGTAGTAGCAGTGGTAGTAGTAGTACCGGTGCTACTGGTTGTAGTAGTACTGGTAGTAGTACTGGTAGTAGTAGTACTGGTAGTAGTAGCAGTGGTAGTAGTAGACCCGGTGCTACTGGTTGTAGTAGTACTGGCAGTAGCGGTAGTAGTACCAGTAGTAGTACTGGTAGTAGCGGTAGTAGTACCAGTAGTAGTACTGGTAGTAGTAGTACTGGTAGTAGCGGTAGTAGTACCAGTAGTACTGGTAGTAGTAGTACTGGTAGTAGTACTGGTAGTAGTAGTTGTAGTACTGGTAGTAGTAGAACTGGTAGTAGTACTGGTAGTAGTAGCAGTGGTAGTAGTAGTACCGGTGCTACTGGTTGTAGTAGTACTGGTAGTAGCGGTAGTAGTACCAGTAGTACCAGTACTGGTATCAGTAGTACTGGTAAGTACTGGTAGCAGTAGTACTGGTAGTGGTAATAGTGGTAGTAGTATTAGTAGTACTGGTAGTAGTAGTACTGGTAGTAGTAGTACCGGTGCTACTGGTTGTAGTAGTACTGGTAGTAGCGGTAGTAGTACCAGTAGTAGTACTGGTAGTAGTACTGGTAGTAGTAGCAGTAGTACTGGTAGTAGTACTGGTAGTAGTAGTACTGGTAGTAGTAGCAGTTGGTAGTAGTAGTACCGGTGCTACTGGTTGTAGTAGTACTGGTAGTAGCGGTAGTAGTACCAGTAGTACCAGTACTGGTAGCAGTAGTACTGGTAATGGTAATAGTGGTAGTAGTACTGGTAGTAGTAGTAGTACCGGTGCTACTGGTTGTAGTAGTACTGGTAGTAGCGGTAGTAGTACCAGTAGTAGTACCGGTAGTAGTACTGGTAGTAGTACTGGTAGTAGTAGCAGTAGTACTGGTAGTAGTAGTACTGGTAGTAGTACTGGTAGTAGTAGCAGTGGTAGTAGTAGTACCAGTGCTACTGGTTGTAGTAGTACTGGTAGTAGCGGTAGTAGTACCAGTAGTACCAGTACTGGTAGCAGTAGTACTGGTAGTGGTAATAGTGGTAGTAGTATTAGTAGTACTGGTAGTAGTACTGGTAGTAGTAGTACCGGTGCTACTGGTTGTAGTAGTACTGGTAGTAGCGGTAGTAGTACCAGTAGTAGTACTGGTAGTAGTACTGGTAGTAGTAGCAGTAGTACTGGTAGTAGTAGTACTGGTAGTAGTGCTGGTAGTAGTAGCAGTGGTAGTAGTAGTACCGGTGCTACTGGTTGTAGTAGTACTGGTAGTAGCGGTAGTAGTACCAGTACTGGTAGCAGAATCGACGATAAAAAACACTGCTACCAGTACTGGTAGTGGTAATAGTGGTAGTAGTAGTTGTAGTACTGGTAGTAGTACTGGTAGTAGTAGTACTGGTAGTAATACTGGTAGTGGTAGTACAGTAGTAGTACTAGTTGTCGTAGGCCTTGTAGTAGTACCGCTAGTACTAATACCACAACTAGTAGTATTAGTGGCACTACTACTAGTACTACTAGTAGTAGTACCAGTACTAGTAGTACTGGTACTACTACTACTCGTGGTAGTAGTAGTACCAGTACTAGTAGTACTGGTACTACTACTCGTGGTACTCGTGGTAGTAGTACCGCTAGTACTAATACAACTAGTAGTATTAGTGGTACTACTACTACCAGTACTAGTAGTACTGGTACTAGTAGTACTGGTACTAGTAGCCGCATCTTCACTGCCCTACTGGAGGTGATCAGTCTGCAGCTGGAGACGTCAACGTGGGCACAGGAGCAGCGCCGCCATTGCGGATGGCGAATCGTGGTTTTTATCGTCGATTCCCTCTTGTCGAGTCGATCCGGAATTGCCGCAGGCATTAAACGTCGATTCTTCGGCAGGCGAATCGTTTGGTAAACGATTCATTCGACAAGCAATTCCTTTTTCTTCTTTGGTTCTTTCGGTAAAGTCACGTAGAATGAGAATAAAATAATAAATTGATAAAATAAAATAACACAATAATATTCTCACGACGTTTCGGCCACAACACAAGCGGCCTTATTTTATCAATTTATTATTTTATTCTCATTCTACGTGACTTTACCGAAAGAACCAAAGAAGATGAATCATTGCAGTCACGAAAGCTTTAAATCGAAAAAAGCAATTCCTTTGTTCACGTGACACGCACACCCCCTGATTGGCTCACATCGCCTCCCTCCTCAAAGCCCCCTCAGCACGAGACAGCCCCTCCCCCCCACCCATAGCAGAGTGTATAGTAGTGTATGGTGTAGTGTATAGTGTAGTGTATAGTAGTGTATAGTGTAGTGTAGAGTAGTGTATAGTGGTGTAGTGTATAGTAGTGTATAGTGGTCTAGTGTATAGCAACATATCCCATGCCTGGGCAGTGTGCTTATGACCAGCTCCAGTTTAACAGCAGAGGTCTCACTCCGAATCAGTCGAGCGGCAATATCTTTTCATCGGTTGCGTAACGCTGTGTGGAAGCTACCTGGTCTGTGGCTCCGCACTAAGCTTCAGGTCTTCTCGACCACAGTCATTCCCTCACTTCTCTACGCTTGCGAAACGTGGACCCCCCTAATGGAACATCTTCACCGGTTAGAAACATTTAGGCTGGCCTGCCTACGATCCATCCTGGGTTTAACCAGACTGGATTGTGTGAGGAGCTCACAAATCCTTGAAAGATCTGGGCAAGGTCCCATCGGTGAGCTCCTCCGGCAGGCACGGCTGCGTTGGCTGGGTCATGTAGCCCGCATGCCCAGCCACCGCATGCCGAAACAGCTTTTGTTCGGCCGGATCGAGGGGGCTAAACGGGCGCGGCATGGGCTAGAGAAGAGATGGAGTGATGTGGTACAGGAGGACGTGGAGCTGAGTGGACTTGCCGATGACTGGTACCAGCGGTGTCAAGATCGGCCTCTGTGGAGGAGGCTCGTGAAGGATGCTACTGGGCAGTTGGAGGCAGTCGCCCTCCAACAACAACGGAGGGCGGAGGAGCGACGCTCACAACAACGAGCGGAGCGCCGGGTGGCTAAAGCACAGCAGGTTGGCACAGTAGGGGGCACAGGTGGTGCATCAGCCAGTCATCTCAGTCAGTCGACCCGTGGCACCTGGGTCTGCCCCGTGACCTCCTGCTAGCGGGCGTTCGACACTTCACGTGGCCTCAGGGTGCACATAGCCTGGTACAAGCGTCGTGGTGACATCACCGCCACTTAGTGGCGAATGGCGGTTGTTGTTGTGTGCAAGCGGATGCCTAAACAGCTAGAGAAGAGATGGAGTACACAGCAGGCGTCAGGTTCGGGATCGAATCCACGACCTCCTGTATACCAGGCGAGGGAGTCAACATTTTATTGATTGGCTGTGTCGGGTGGAGGAGGGCCCGAACGCACACACACGCGCGCGTCCACAAGAGATCTTGATCCCAAAAAAAACAAATTACGAATCGTCTTCTCGGGCGGCATCTTTGCTCCCTTATACACCGCAATCGATTAGGGCGGCATCTTTGCTCCCTTATACACCGCAATTGATGATGCTATCCATGAGGGCACGGGACGGATGCGCGTTTGTTTTTTCTCGAGTGCCACCGAGAACTCGTCTCTCGGCAGCGCGCGAGGAACCAACGCAACTGCCGTGGCCTTCTTAGGAAATGCGTCCTCATGGACATGACCTCCGAACAAGTGACCGATTGACATTTTACAACGAAAATAGATGAACGCTGTTCGAACAGAGGGCAGTAGTGATAATAACGATGTGATTCAGTTCACCCGGGGGGGAATTCCTCGCCGAGTCTCAAGGCTCTTATTCAAGAAGGGGTTTGTGAGATTTTTGCACACAGAGTTGTAATAAGTTTTTTTCTTTTCTGGAAGATTTGCTGTTTTATCACAGGATGTTTCCGTTACGCGTCGTCGCTTTAAGATGTTTCTCTGTTCATATTTTGTTTGTTGCGGTTGCACCCGAACTCAAGAGCCGCATGACTCACAGGGCTATACACCTAATAAATGAAACTTGAAACTTGATTGGACTTGCCGATGGCCGCTACCAGCGCTGTAGATGTAGATGCCACTGGTTCTTCACGTTCTGCAGATGCAGATGCCATTGGTTCTTCACGTTCTGTAGACGTAGATGCCACTGGTTCTTCACGTTCTGTAGATGTAGATGCCACTGGTTCTTCACGTTCTGTCGATGTAGATGCCACAGGTTCTTCACTTTCTGTAGATGTAGATGCCACTGGTTCTTCACGTTCTGGAGATGTAGATGCCATTGGTTCTTCACGTTCTGTAGACGTAGATGCCACTCGTTCTTCACGTTCTGTAGATGTAGATGCCACTGGTTCTTCACGTTCTGTCGATGTAGATGCCACTGGTTCTTCACTTTCTGTAGATGTAGATGCCACTGGTTCTTCACGTTCTGCAGATGTAGATGCCATTGGTTCTTCACGTTCTGTCGATGTAGATGCCACTGGTTCTTCACGTTCTGCAGATGTAGATGCCACTGGTTCTTCATGTTCTGTCGATGTAGATGCCACTGGTTCTTCACGTTCTGCAGATGTAGATGCCACTGGTTCTTCACGTTCTGTAGATGTAGATGCCACTGGTTCTTCACGTTCTGCAGATGTAGATGCCACTGGTTCTTCACGTTCTACAGATGTAGATGCCACTGGTTCTTCACATTCTGCAGATGTAGATGCCACTGGTTCTTCACGTTCTGCAGATGTAGATGCCACCGGTTCTTCATGTTCTGCAGATGTAGATGCCACTGGTTCTTCACATTCTGCCAATGTAGATGCCACCACTGCCATTTATTGTGCGTGGAGGTTGAACTTACGACTCTCATTCCAAACGGGCAACTGGACAAACGGGATAGGTTTTTTTTATTATCTCTAAAAGTCCTGAAGTTGAATGTTTGTAAGTAGAGTAGTGCCTGTACAAACACGGGTGAACGTTTCCCCGCAGCGGCGTCGCTGAATTAGACCGGCGGCCACGATGAGCTGGGGCTACCTCACACATCTGCTGGAGGAGGTTCATCGGCACTCCACCTTCCTGAGCAAGCTGTGGATCACCACCTTCGTCATCTTTCGCGTCGTTCTCACGACGGTCGCCGGCGAGTCCATCTACTACGACGAGCAGGGCCGCTTCTCGTGCAACACGGCGCAGCCCGGTTGCGAGAACGTCTGCTACGACAGCTTCGCCCCGCTCTCCCACGTCCGCTTCTGGGTGTTCCAGATCATCGCGGTCGCCACGCCCACCATCCTGTACCTCGGCTTCGCAGTGCATCGCATCACCAGGTACCGAGGTTCTCGGAGGGAGTTTTCACAGTGGGGGGGGGGGGGGGGGGGGCTACGGTGGAAATTTGAATGGCTGCCCGCAGTTGGAAATGTTTTAATTTGTTTTTTAATTAGGTTGCGCCGTCGATTTGGTCACGAGTTTGAACGGTGAAAGTGCCGGCAAGGTTTCCCCTTGACTTAGGAACGGAGTTCCGTTCCCGAGCCCCCCCCGTCGGTACGTCCGAACGGCTAGTTCAGTTCGGGAGGGCGAATGTGCGCTGTGTTTAAACACGCACACGGTCAGTGTCGTAAAATATTCTGCGATTCAACAGCAAAAAGGGAAGCATTGTTAAACTCTTCAACAATAAGAAATATAATACATTTGCATGCGATATTATAATTGCATATGTATAAAAGGCAAAGTTGTGAGTATGTGTCTGTTCAAAATGTTTAGCGTACTTCCCGACATGCAACAAACTTGAAATTTGCCATGTGGGTACTTTCCATACTGTACACCATGCAAACATAAAAATACACTTATTTTTTTTGGGGGGGGGGGTGGGGAAATGACGATGAAGTGTGGCGAGAATCGATATCTGGTGAGCTTTGTGGTATCGATTAAACAGGAATAGGCTGATTCTAAAGAAATCTACAACCTTCGATTCCTTTGCGCGATCTAAAGAATCGAATCTTGGCGCACGAGCGTACGTTTTTTTACGCCGCGCGTTGGGTTTCATTTTAGTTTTTACGAATGAGGCAATGATCAAAGTTTTTTTTTTTCCATTTGTATATGTTATGGTTTTAAGTTTTGAGAAGTTTTTCAATATATGTTTTCCCCCGGGCAACGCCGGGTGCTTCCCGCTTAGTAGTAAATAAAGCGTCAAATTTTAAAGGAAGGTAAATATTTTCACTTACCTCGAGTCCCGACGGTGGCTCGCTCGTAGCGAGGGGTGAAACTTCGACGCCGCCGCCGCTCTCTGTCGTGGTAGGATCGAGTACAAGCGAGACGAACAAACTAAGCGAGCCAAGCGAACCGGCGGCCCCGACCGCGTGATTGAAGGCACGGAGAAAGAGGAGGAGGTGGAGGTGGAAGAGGAGGTGGAGGAGGAGGGTGAAGAAGACGGCGAGGGGAAGCAGCACAACGAGCGGTGGAGGATCAAGACGGACGGCCTGATGGTGGCCTACACCCTCCAGCTGCTGGCCCGCACGCTGGCCGAGGTTGGCTTCCTGGTGGGGCAGTACCTGATGTATGGCTTGGAGGTGGCCCCGCGCTTCGAGTGCGTCCGTCACCCCTGCCCGCACCGGGTCGATTGCTTTGTGTCGCGCCCCACGGAGAAGACCGTCTTCCTTCTGGTCATGTACGCGGTCGCCGGTCTCAGCCTCCTGCTCGAACTGTCCGAGATTGCCTACCTGGGGCTGGGCACCATCCACGACTCGCTGAGCGGGTGGCGCCCGCGCCGGCTACGGAGCAGGTGGGGGGCCTCGACGGCGCGGTTGGCCACGGTCGGCTATGCGGGGGGAGGGGTGGGGGGCGGAAAAAGTTCGGCGCGCGGACGGAGGTTGTCGGCTTCGGCGTTGGATCGCGAGAAACGAAAGCGTCGTCTCGTCAAAGCCGCCAACTTGTAGTAGCGGCGTTGCGTCACGGAAACGAAACGTGCCGGGTCGCTACCGGCTCGACACTCGCCGGCTGCGTGTCAGAGAGTGACCCCCAACTACGCCTACAATTCGAGTTTCCGTGACGTTTCGCCGATGATGACAACAGCAAAAAAACATCATGGGACCTCCCTTGCCAGTAACAAGATATAAGAATTTGTTTTACCCTTTTTTAGCAGTAAAACAGCTGTGTGAACGTGATAACACCAAACGTAAACCTCTTGCAAGGAATCATCTCACTGCATTGGCCACACACACGGTACTTGTAATGAACATGCAAACAGAAACACGCTCTGGTAGTCTATGATGATGATGATGCATTGTCTTTGAAACTGATTGTTCCACACCAGAGACAGCTTTCTTTAGAGCCTCGTGTGTCTCACCCCGAGCTGTCAATGTCTTCGTAGTGGCATTGTCCTCTCATCTAACACTGTTTGAGACTAGGCTCTAAACAAAGCTGTCTCTTATTTTTGGTTCTTTCGCTAAAGTCACGTGGAAGGGAAATAATATTGGTTCCATCAGCTCCCCAACCGCTATATATATAGATGATGTGTGTAGTTTATAGTGTAGTGTATAGTGTAGTGTATGTGTTGATAGCTATGTATATAGATGTTGTGTGTAGTTTATAGTGTAGTGTATAGTGTAGTGTATGTGTTGATAGCTATGTATATAGATGTTGTGTATAGTTTATAGTGTAGTGTATGTGTTGATATCTATGTATATAGATGTTGTGTATAGTTTATAGTGTAGTGTATAGTGTAGTGTATGTGTTGATAGCTATGTATATAGATGTGTGTAGTTTATAGTGTAGTGTATAATGTAGTGTATGTGTTGATAGCTATGTATATAGATGTGTATAGTTTATAGTGTATAGTGTAGTGTATGTGTTGATAGCTATGGATATAGATGTTGTGTGTAGTGTATAGTGTAGTGTATGTGTTGATAGCTATGTATATATGTTGTGTGTAGTTTATAGTGTAGTGTATAGTGTAGTGTATGTGTTGATAGCTATATATATAGATGTTGTGTGTAGTGTATAGTGTAGTGTATAATGTAGTATATGTGTTGATAGCTATGTATATAGATGTTGTGTATAGTTTATAGTGTAGTGTTTAGTGTAGTGTATGTGTTGATAGCTATGTATATAGATGTTGTGTGTGTAGTGTATAGTGTAGTGTATAGTGTAGTGTATGTGTTGATAGCTATGTATATAGATGTTGTGTGTGTAGTGTATAGTGTAGTGTATAGTGTAGTGTATGTGTTGATAGCTATGTGTATATATGTTGTGTATAGTTTATAGTGTAGTGTATAGTGTAGTGTATGTGTTGATAGCTATGTATATAGATGTGTGTAGTTTATAGTGTAGTGTATAATGTAGTGTATGTGTTGATAGCTATGTATATAGATGTGTATAGTTTATAGTGTAGTGTATAGTGTAGTGTATGTGTTGATAGCTATGTATATAGATGTTTGTAGTGTATAGTGTAGTGTATAATGTAGTGTATGTGTTGATAGCTATGTATATATATGTTGTGTGTAGTTTATAGTGTAGTGTATAGTGTAGTGTATGTGTTGATAGCTATGTATATAGATGTTGTGTGTGTAGTGTATAGTGTAGTGTATGTGTTGATAGCTATGTATATAGATATTGTGTGTAGTTTATAGTGTAGTGTATAGTGTAGTGTATGTGTTGATAGCTATGTATATAGATGTGTGTAGTTTCTAGTGTAGTGTATAATGTAGTGTATGTGTTGATAGCTATGTATATAGATGTGTATAGTTTATAGTGTATAGTGTAGTGTATGTGTTGATAGCTATGGATATAGATGTTGTGTGTAGTGTATAGTGTAGTGTATGTGTTGATAGCTATGCATATATGTTGTGTGTAGTTTATAGTGTAGTGTATAGTGTAGTGTATGTGTTGATAGCTATGTATATAGATGTTGTGTGTGTAGTGTATAGTGTAGTGTATGTGTTGATAGCTATGGATATAGATGTTGTGTGTAGTGTATAGTGTAGTGTATGTGTTGATAGCTATGTATATATGTTGTGTGTAGTTTATAGTGTAGTGTATGTGTTGATAGCTATATATATATAGATGTTGTGTGTAGTGTATAGTGTAGTGTATAATGTAGTATATGTGTTGATAGCTATGTATATAGATGTTGTGTATAGTTTATAGTGTAGTGTTTAGTGTAGTGTATGTGTTGATAGCTATGTATATAGATGTTGTTTGTGTAGTGTATAGTGTAGTGTATAGTGTAGTGTATGTGTTGATAGCTATGTGTATATATGTTGTGTATAGTTTATAGTGTAGTGTATAGTGTAGTGTATGTGTTGATAGCTATGTATATAGATGTGTGTAGTTTATAGTGTAGTGTATAATGTAGTGTATGTGTTGATAGCTATGTATATAGATGTGTATAGTTTATAGTGTAGTGTATAGTGTAGTGTATGTGTTGATAGCTATGTATATAGATGTTGTGTGTAGTGTATAGTGTAGTGTATAATGTAGTGTATGTGTTGATAGCTATGTATATATGTTGTGTGTAGTTTATAGTGTATAGTGTAGTGTATGTGTTGATAGCTATGTATATAGATGTTGTGTGTGTAGTGTATAGTGTAGTGTATGTGTTGATAGCTATGTATATAGATATTGTGTGTATAGTGTATAGTGTAGTGTATGTGTTGATAGCTATGTATATAGATGTTGTGTGTGTAGTGCATAGTGAAGTGTATAGTGTAGTGTATGTGTTGATAGCTATGTATATAGATGTTTTGTGTGTAGTTTATAGTGTAGTGTATAGTGTAGTGTATGTGTTGATAGCTATGTATATAGATGTTTTGTGTGTAATTTATAGTGTAGTGTATGTGTTGATAGCTATATATATAGATGTTGTGTGTAGTGTATAGTGTAGTGTATAGTGTCGTGTATGTGTTGATAGCTATGTATATAGATGTTGTGTGTGTAGTGTATAGTGTAGTGTATGTGTTGATAGCTATGTATATAGATATTGTGTGTATAGTGTATAGTGTAGTGTATGTGTTGATAGCTATGTATATAGATGTTGTGTGTGTAGTGCATAGTGAAGTGTATAGTGTAGTGTATGTGTTGATAGCTATGTATATAGATGTTTTGTGTGTAGTTTATAGTGTAGTGTATAGTGTAGTGTATGTGTTGATAGCTATGTATATAGATGTTTTGTGTGTAATTTATAGTGTAGTGTATGTGTTGATAGCTATATATATAGATGTTGTGTGTAGTGTATAGTGTAGTGTATAGTGTCGTGTATGTGTTGATAGCTATGTATATAGATGTTTTGTGTGTAGTTTATAGTGTATAGTGTAGTGTATGTGTTGATAGCTATGTATATAGATGTTTTGTGTGTACTTTATAGTGTAGTGTATAGTGTAGTGTATGTCTTGATAGCTATGTATATAGATGTTGTGTGTAGTGTATAGTGTAGTGTATAATGTAGTGTATGTGTTGATAGCTATGCATATATGTTGTGTGTAGTTTATAGTGTAGTGTATAGTGTAGTGTATGTGTTGATAGCTATGTATATAGATGTTGTGTGTGTAGTGTATAGTGTAGTGTATGTGTTGACAGCTATGTATATAGATGTTGTGTGTATAGTGTAGTGTATAGTGTAGTGTATGTTTGATAGCTATGTATATAGATGTTGTGTGTGTAGTGTATAGCTACCATTCGGTTGTGGGGGCCTCCTCTGACGGGAACCGCACCGGGTGACTTTCGTGAGCGCTCGCAACGTTCATACATTACGGCGTTAACAATTATTCATAATCAAGGTTTTTGGGTTTAGATTGCACTATCTACTGCACTATCTAATGCACTATACACTACACTATACACTACACTATACACTGCACTATACACTACTATACACTACACTATACACTGCACTATACATTACACTATACACTGCACTATACACTATATACACTACACTATATACTACACTATCCACTACACTATACACTACACTATACACTACACTACTATACACTATACACTGCTATGCACTACACTATACACTACACTACTATACACTATACACTACACTACTATACACTACACTACTATACACTACACTATACACTACACTACTATACACTACACTATACTATACACTACACTACTATACACTACACTACTATACACTACACTATCCACTGCACCATACACTATACTATACACTACACTATACATGCAATATAACCCAAAAAAAAACCTCTATCATGGACAGTGTATATATATTTTTTTGTTAATGAAAATACTCTTCTTGAAATTTGACTCGTTTCTAGGGTGGCAGATGCCGTCGAGCCGGAATCGACGGCGGGTCCCAGAGCGATGTCACCGTCAGAATTGTGGCAGCTCCTTGACGAGGTGCAGAAACTTCAGACGGAGCTGGGGGTGACGCCGAGACCCCACCAGGAGCCCCCCGAGCAAGACGCTGGCGAAGCGTCCGGCAAGTCTTGGGTTTAGCGTGCTAGTATTACTCTCGGGCGTCGTTATCGCTCAATCGCTTTTCGCCATCCCACGTTCCATTTACTCGGCCCCCCCAACGCGCCGCCGCCGTTTGGATCGTCTCGACTTTGAAGGTCTTCGTGACATTCTTCCGTCGAGATTCAATCGGAGGCGACCGTCTGCGCTTTTAAGATTCGAGCGGCAGAGCGCGGGCACCCCGCTAACCCGCTCGCGATGGCACGGGGGGTACGCCAGCACCCAGCCTCGTGGCTCGGGGGATTCGGCGCTGGGTTTGTAACCCAGAGCGTTGAGAGTTCAAATCTCCTTAGAACGCGTTTTGTGTGGCATTGTGGCTTTCGCATTCGGCCAACGTATAAATGCACGAGTCGGGGGGGGGGAATGTTTGCGTGAGTGTTTAATCAATATGGAGGTGTGTTTTGATTAAAGCAACCCAAATATTTTTGTTACTTTAGCTTACTTCTTA